ATGATTCTCGGCCTTTACAATCTTGGAACCCAAGAGTCCACAAAAGCATCTACCTAGTACCGACGGCCCCTACCACCACGCGTGCCTCGATCCCATCTACCGCCACCTCTTCCGCCGCGGTTTGGGAAAAAAGACGGGTTTCTGAAACTGTTGTTCTCGTACCACCAGTAATCATCCCGCGAGACATGCAAATCTTCCGACTTCTCCACGTAGCGTTCCTCCTCTTGTCGCAAGAGGTAAAGTCGGCTCTGGCTCAGGGGCATGATTGAGTAGCCAGCGGCGACACTGTCGGTTATGGTGCGTCGAAGAAACGAAGTGAACTGAGGCTGAGAAGGCAAATCCTTGAGACCCATCTTGGCCAAGAACTGCGGAAAGGCGTCGAACTGCTGGATCTCGCGAATGTCCTCGGCCATGCGCGTTGAGGTACCCGGCGGAGGAGCCCCATGGGCGTCAAACAACGAGTCGCGAAGCTCAACCAGGGTCTTACCGGGCGGACGGGCTGCTGCGCTGAACATCTTCAGGAACATCATGAGGCGGTATGAGGTGGGAGAGGCAGCGTATGTCTTGCTGGTACGGTATTCGGAGATCTTGGAGGGTTCCAGGTATGCGAGCTCGGCCATACCAGCGCCCTTCTCATCAAGCATCCAGACGACGTTGCGAATGATGGCTTCTTCGATGATCTCATACGTCAGGTCTTCGGTAAGTCCGTCGTCGCAGATGAGAGCTGCTATGAGAACGTGACCGAGATCGGGGAAGTTTGCCTTGTTGCGCGGACCGGCCATGAAGCGTCTGATCGTGTTGTTGGCACTGTCAGTGATGTGAGAGTTCTCGATCGCCAGGCATAGCAGTAGGTGGAAGAGACCGAAATACGCGTCGACGGCCTTCTCTGACGCGTGACTCAAGGTGCTGCGTGCGTCAGGGCCGCTGTAGCTCTCCGCATCTGATGAGAACTGAACGACAACGGTGTTCATAGTATGATACAGGATATCCACATAGCAAGCTCCAGGGTTCGTGATGTTCGCAGTCCTATGGATATCCAGCGTGCTCTCCATCACATGATCTCTAACTTGATTCCAGTGGCGTCGGCTCAGGGGTAGAGGTAGCCAGATATCGAACTTAACACCCTGAACGCTGCGTCGGATGTGGTGCTTGTAGAACGCCTCGTGACTCAAAAGATCAAACTCTGTTCGGAAGACCGGCCGGTTACCGCCTGTCACGGCGATACCAATACCAAGCTTGGCGTCGAGGAATGATTCTTTGAGACAAAAGCATTGCAGCTCGCGAATGCGGATGAAGTCGTAGGAGTTCATCTTGTACTTGATGAAGGGAATGGCGTCGGCAAAGGCCAAAACGTCAACGGTCTTGGAATTGCTGAGGATCTCGAGAAGGATCTCGTCTGGTAGCCTAAACAACCCCGAGGGGCCTCTCTGATGCTGGCTAGGGGCTGGGGCGACAACATCTCGTCTGGGTGAGTCGACCTCCATTCCACCAGCTGGTACTGGTGACGAGTCTTCTCCAAATCTACACAGAGAGCACTTGAAGCGATCTTCTCCCAACGTTTGAGCTTCTTGCTGCCGATACCAAGCCAGATCGACAGTGCGATTACCATGATCTTGCTCTAGCGAATCACTAGAGAAGAAGCTCAGCAGCTGGATAGCGATACCCTTGAGGGTATACGCCGGCGTCCAGCCCTCATCGGTGTTCAGCATGGTGGCGCAAACATAGTCGCTGAAGACGTTTGGATGGATGATTGCGCTTTGGATCGTGACGTCGGGCGCCACCAGCGGATATCGGCCGGTGAAGCGGATCTTGAGGTGGAGTGGCTTCTGTCCTTCCGGAGTGAGAACAAGACACGCTTTTGTGATGTCGTTGTCCTGGAAGTGAATGCGGACGTTGGGATAAGGATCTTGTTCGATCTCCGCGATGTCCTTGAGGAGGCGACGTCGCAGTGAGCGTGACTGAACCGTGTTAGCTTGGTACTGCGTCATGACGACGAGGTGCTGCGAGGTTGCGGTCGCGAGGTTCGGTTCCGTCAAGAGAATGACAAGAGACGTTAAGAGGAAAGAAACAGAGGTTATAGCGCGCATTCGAGTTGTCAGTTGCTGCAGGTGGTCCAGGCTGAGTCATGCACGTGACTAGGCAGCACAACAAACAAACGGAAGTGTGGGTCTTGACGCCCTTTCAGATTGATGGACAGCTATCAAACCTGTTCAATACCGCATTGAAGGGATCGCATGACCAGTCTTCTGCTCCCAAAGCATCTACTGAATGGCTTTGCGCGGACAGGCAAAGGGGACCTGAGTTAGCTATGTAGACTACTGGCTTTGAGTTTACCATGACGCAACGTTATCCCCACCGCCTACAAGTTATCTCTGGTGTCATTGTGTCATTGGGAAGTCTGTTGGAATGACACATCCCAGTGCGCCTTAACCAACTGGCCCAGAAAAGGGCGTCAAGGTAGCCAGCTAGGGATGGCTTGGTAAGGTTGAGTAGTGCGACTTTGGGCTAGGCCACTGGGTGAATAAAGTCTCATATTATCACAACGTGTCGCATGTATTTGGTCTGCATGATGGACTGAGATGAGGAGGATCGCTGGAGGAATTTAAGGAAGTTATGTGGCTGGCTGGGGTCATGTCATCAGTGATGTCTACACTTAGGGCTCGTGAGGACTTACTATGTAAGAGGATAACGATGTAGAAAGAAGACTATAAATACATCGTCTGGATGAGTTGGAGTGCGTCCTGGCACGTAGAAGTTGTGTTCGGGGCCAAATGGATAAATACGGGGAACCAAATTAAAGCTGAACCCTCGTGCAACAAGAGGCAACGCGTACCGCCTGAGTATGGAAAGCTATGCGAGCAACGCGAGGATGAAACCAGCAAGGGACATATCTATTGGACGAATTTGTCGAATCTGCATCTTTTGCGGACTACAGAAATAGAGAAAGTGAGGGAAGAGATGCGGACCCCATAATAGTTCTTGCAGTGTGCGACTGGGATGACATGACGAATGCGAGCACCTGCAAATATGAAAGAGGGGGGGGGGGGGACCCCAATTTGGGCTATAACGAGCCGTAC